ACCTCACTTCTTCCTAAGTTCAAAGTCATAATCCATGTAACATTGCCAGTTGATTTGTCTAAACATATGCATGTGTAAATGGGTCCAACTTGACGTTGACTAGGGAGGAATATGATTTGGTCCTAAGTTCAACATCATGATCAAGGTAATATTACCGGTTGATTGGTCAGAACGGGTCAATGTGTCAATCACCCTGACTTGAAGTTGACCGGGGAGGAATCTAACTGGTTCTTAAGTTTATAGTCATGATTAAGGTAAAATTATCTATCAACTGGTTGGAACAGGTTCAAGTGGCAATCAGTCTGACTTGACGTTGACCGGGACAAATCTACTTTGTTCCGAACTTCATATTCATGATCTAGGTAACATTCCTAGACGATTGGTCGGAAAGGGTCCATGTGTCAATAGGTCTTCCTTTATGTTGACCAGGGAGGAATCTAACTTGTTTTTAAGTTAATAGCCATGATCCAGGTAACCTTACCAGCCGACTGGTCATGGCTGATCCATGTGTCAATCAGTACAAGTTTATGTTGACTGGGTTGAATCTAACTTGTTCCTAAGTTCATATTCGTGATCTAGGTAACATTACCAAGAATTTCGTCAAAATTTGTCCATGTGTGTACCAGTCGGACTTAAGTTGACTTGGAGGAATAAAAAGTGCTAGAAAGTTCATAGTCATGATTCGGCTGAGATTACCAACTGATTGGTTGGAATGGGTCCATGTGTCAATCAGTCTAACTTAACGTTGATCGAGAGGAATCTAACTTGTTCTGAAGTTCATATTCATGATCTAGGTAACATTACCAACCGATTGGTGAGAGTTGGTCCATGTGTCAATCCGTCCGACTTGATTTCCACCAGAGAAATCTAACTTTTTCCTAAGTTCATAGTCATATTCCAAGTAACATTACCAACTGATTGGTCAAAACAGATCCATGTGTTAGTTGGTCTGACTTGACTTGGACAAATCTAACATGTTCCTAAGTTCATATTCATGATCTTGGTAACATTACTACCCGATTGGTCAAAAACGAGTCCATGTGTTAATGGGTTTGACTTGACGTTGACGTAGAGGAATATAACATTTTCAGATGTTCATATCTAGGTAACATCACCAGGTTATTTGTTAGAATGGGTCCATGTCTCAATAGATCTAAATAGACTTTGATTGGGGGAGAAATTTAACGTGTTCCTAAGTTCAAAATCATGATCCAAGTAATATTACCACCTGATTTGTTGGAACAGATCCATTTGCCAATTAGTCTGACTTGATGTGACCAGGACGAATGTAATTTGTTCGTATGTTCGTATTCATGATCGAGGTAACATTACTAGCCGATTAGTAAGAATGGGTCCGTGTTTCAATCGGTCCAACATAACATTGCTCAAGAGAATTCTAACTTGTTCCTAAGTTCATAGTCATGATCTAGGTGACATTACCAGGTGATTGGTTAAAACGGGTCCATGTGTCAATTATTCAACTTGAACGGGACGAATCTATGTTGTTCCTATTTTCATAGTCATGATCTTTGAAACATTCTTGGCCGATTGGTCGAAACGGGTCCATGTGTCAATAGGTTCGACTTGACATTCACCAGGGAAGAAAATAACTTGTTCCTAATTTCATAGTCATGATTTAGGTTACATTGCAAGGTTAATGGTCATTACAGGTCCATGTGTCAATGGGTCCAACTTGACGTTGACTAGAGAAGAATCTAACTTGTTCCTAAGTTCATATTCATGATCCATGTGACATTACCAGGCAATTGGCCAGGACTGATCTATTTGTCAATCAATCAGACTCTAAGTTGATCAGGATGAATGTAACTTGTTCCTAAGTTCATATTCGTGATCGAGTAACATTACTGGCTAACTCATCATAAGTGGTCCATCTATCAATTGGTCTGTCATAACGTTGTCTAGGAGGAATCTTACTTGTTCCTAACTTTATAGTCATGGTCCAAGAAACATTACCAGCCGATTAGTCGGAATGGGTCCATGTGTCAATCGGCACGACATGATGTTGACTAGAAAGGAATCTAACTTGTTACTAAGATCATATTGATGATTTACATAATATTACCAGCCGATTGGTCAGAATGGGTCCATGTGTCATTGGGTCCAACTTGATGTTGACAGGGAGGAATCTAACTTGTTCCTAAAATCATGGTCATGATCAGGTAACATTACCCACAAATTGGTCGAAACTAATCTATGTGTCAATCAGTCCAACTTGATGTTGTTCAGAAGGAATCTGACTTCTTCTTATGTTCATAGACATGATCCAGGTAACATTAGCAGTCGATTGGTCGAAATGGGGCCATGTGGCAATCCATCGGACTAGAAGTTGACCAGACAAATATAATTTGTTCCTAAGTTCATATTCATGATCCACGTAACAATACCAGCCGGTTACTCGGAACGGGTCCATGTGTCAATGGGTCCGAATTGACGTTGACTTTGGAGGAATCTAACTTGTTCCTAAGTTCAAAGTCATGATCTAGGTAACATTACTAGCTAATTGGTCGGAAGGGGTCCATGTGTCAATAAGTTTGACTTAAGCGGGACGAATTTATCTTGTTCCTATATCCATAGTCATGATTTAGGTAACATTCTCGGTCGATTAGCCGTAACGAGTCCATGTGTCTATGGGTTCGACTAGACGTTGACCGGGGAGGAATCTAACTTGTTCCTAAGTTCATAGTCATGATCTATGTGACATTACCAAGTTATTGATCAGAACGAGTCCATGTTTCAATGGGTCTAACTTGGCATTGACTAGGGAGGATCTTACTTGTTCCTATGTTCATATTCATGATCCAGGTAACATTACCAGCCAATTGGTCAGAACTGATCCATTTGCCAAATCGTCCAACTTGATGTTGACTAGAACAAATAATAATTGTTCCTAAGTTCATATTCATGATCGAGATAACATTACAAATTGATGGGGAAGAACTGGTCCATGTGTCAATTGGTCTGACATAACGTTTTTTCGGAGGAATCTAATTTCTTCGTAAGTTAATAGTCATGATCCAGGCAAAATTTCAAGTTGATTGATCAGAATGGGTCCATGTGTCAATCAGTCTGACTTGATGTTAATCAGGGAGGAATCTAACTTGTTACTAAGTTCATATGCATGATCTGCATAACATTACCATGCAATTGGTCAGAACGGGTCCATGTGTCAATGGGTCTAAGTTGATGTTGACCTCGGAGGAAACTAACTTGTTCCTAAGTTAATAGTCATGATCTAGGTAGCATTACCAGTAGATTGGTCGGAATTGATCCATGTGTCAATGATTTCAACTTTTTCAAGCAATTCTTCACAATATCAATTAAATAGATAGCTTTTTGGGAAGTCGTGAAAATATCATTACTCTCACACTGAGTAATGTATTTTGGCGGCTAGCAATAAATAACACTTTAACCAAGAATTAACTTTATAAAGCAACCTTTCTCAATATCAATTAAACGGATAGCTCTTTGGAAAACCGTGAATATATCAATACTCTCGCATTAAGTAATGTATTTAGGCGGCTAGCAATAAATAATAATTTTATGGAATGCCGTAAAGTTTTCATTACTAATACTCCCTCCGTCCGGAATTAAACTTCCCATTTGGACTTTTTCCCATTTTTATGATGTGTTGACTTTAGGATGGAAAAGTCCAAAATACCCTTCCCCCATTTGTCCCCACCCACTACCCCTGCCCTTTGCTCCCACCATTTTCATCGATCCCACTACTACCGCAGATCCAAAACCACCATCGACTCCCCACAATCGCCACAGCCCTCACCATCACCTCAGCCCCTAGATCTTCCCAGACCTTACACTTTTAGAAGACAAACAAATAGGAGAAAAAGGGGAATAAAAAGAGGGAAAAAAAGATGAATTGATTTGGAGAAAGAAAAGAGGGATGCGAAAGAATTGGGGGGAGAAGAAAAAAAGAAGAAGAAAGAGGAACGGATCAGGACAGAAAAAGGAGGACGAGAAAGAACGGAGGGGAGAAGGAGGAGGAGGAGGAGGAGGAGAATAAGAAGAAGAAGAAGAAGAAGCTAGGAATAGATCTGGAGAATAAACAGGGGTGAGAAAGAACTGGGGAAGAGGAGGAAGAAGAAGAATGAATGAATCTACAATTGTAGAGAGAAGAAAAGAAGAAGAAGAAAAAGAGAAGAGAAAGGAAAGAGAGGAGAGAGGTGAGGAACTAAAGAAGGAGAGAGAAAGGGGGAGGGGAGAGATTGGGTGAGTATTTGTAAGTAGGGAGTATTTTTGGTAGTTAGTGTATAAAAAATTAAAATGGGAAGATTATTTCCGGAAGAAGAAAAAAGGGAAATGAGAAGATTATTTCCGGACGGAGGGAGTAACAAATATGGGGTACTATGCTATAACACATTTTTCAAAAATTGATGAACACATTTTTCGAATACATTTAAGGTAGGGTTAAATATGTTTTTAATCTTTGTAATATAAGTTATGTTTGTTTTTGGTTCTTCTATGTTATTTCTTTATTAAGTCATTTCTGTAATGTTTTTTACAAATAGCCCTTATACAAATGTTGAGTTTACGTGTCAGAATTTATAAGGACTAAAAATAAAATTACTTTGAACTTAAATAATCTCAGAAAGATCAAACACAAATTTCTAAATTTTGCAAGGATCAAAATAAAATTCATCATTAACTCCAAATTAAAGAAAACTAGTGGGAGGACCATTTGCAAAAACAAAAATGACTCAATTTGCTAGGGCCAAAAAGTATATTTTCCTTTAATGTATTTGATCCTAGCAAAAAAATATATTTTATAAAATTTAATAAAAAATCAAAGGAACCTTATGTAATTTTCAAGATATCATCTAACATAACAAAATGATTTTCTTAAATCAGAACTAATTTAATTATATTTTTATACAAATTTTGAGAATTGAATATCATGTTAATTTTATATTTAGTCTTATTTAAATTTTTATTTATACATTAATTATTTTTTTGTTATTTGACGGTAGGAGAGACATATTAATGCTAATAAAATAAAATAAATAAATATTTCCTCTCCGCACTGCTGTATCTTCTTCTCATTTCTCTTTCTCTTGCTTGATAAAACTACTCCATTCGTTGCTGAAGGTCCGTGCTTTTTATCGATCTGCCGCTCCGATTACCTACGGGTACACTTTTTTCGGATTGGCTTTGTTTCTTTAGAGTTTGTCTTTTGGATGTGGCATTTCATCAATTTCTTTTTTGATCCCCTTTCGTGGAATATTTGGGGTTTTGAATTCAAACTTGTTTCCTGGGTTTAATCCCATATGAGTTTGAATCTTCGTTTTTTTCCCATCCCGTAGTTGAATCTTGAAATAATAGAACCATTTTGATCAAATGTAGAGTTTGGTTCCTTGTGTTGATATTGCGAATTTGTTTTTGTGTACTACTAGTACTATTGATCAACTTGTTTTTGTTTACTGTGTAATTAGCTTTTTCTGATAATCAGTAAGAGCTCTGTGATGATTTGCCCAATTGATAATTTTCCTGCGAATTTGTTTTTGTTTTTGTTTTTGTGTACTACTAATTTATTAACTTCTTTTGTTTACTCTGTAATTAGCTTTTGCCCCATTGATAATTTTCCTGTGAATAAGGAAAACTGAGTGTAATTTTGGACTAACTAATGGAAATTAGATTTCATTAAGATATACTTCATTTAGGCTAGTTACAGTATTTTGGCATAATCTTCAGTGCTCAGCTTATTATTTTAATTATCGTTTGCTTTTGGGCCAATAAATTACTTCACTTTGGACCTTTGGTTTCTGCTCGTCTGGTTGAGGTTGATAACGTTTTATGCCGAGACAAGTAAATTATAGTTGTATTGTGCAGTTGAAATGGATGCTGTCATGAATGAGACAGTTGCAGTTGGAAGGGCTTTGGAAGGAGTATCTAGTGGGCAGCAGATTTATCAGTCTGGTGAAGCACTGGCAGAATGGAGGTCTTCAGAGCAGGTGGAGAACGGAATTCCCTCCACATCACCACCTTATTGGGACAGTGACAATGATGATGACAGCGGTTGTATTCTGGATTTGTTTAAATTTTTGTACCACAGATAGTCAGATACTGTTTATTCTAGGAGTTAGATGTAGACTTTGTAGTATATTCAAAGTGTGTTCTTTTTTGCAATTTCTTTCATGTTGGCTTTTTAACTTATCAGATGAAGGAGATTCATCTTAAAGTCATCCTCATCTTTTTTCTTCTTGCTTGTAGGATCCAAGCCCTCTGCACTATATGCACAACATACATGGAAGATTGATAATTTTTCACAAATTAACAAAAGAGAACTCCGGAGTAGTGCGTTTGTGGTTGGCAGCTATAAATGGTAACATGTCTATTGCTTCTGTGTGATTGAAATAATTTTTTATGGATCCCTTTTTTACTGCTTTTATATTTTTTGTTGTATATTATAGTACTCCATAGCTTTTATTCTATGATTAAGACAAGATTCCTCCATTCTTGTTCTACATATAGTAGTAATATCTCAATCCTCACCAATTATGGAGTTTCTCTTAACAAGTATCTTATTGATACCATCTAACACTGAAGTCTAAATGTCTGCATGTTGTATTTATTCTATTACGTTCATCTTCACAACATTACAGTTTTTGTTACATACAAGTAATATATTTCCCATCAACTATTTTTGGCAGGTATATTTTGATTTACCCGCAGGGGTGTGATGTCTGCAATCATCTCTCTCTGTTTCTTTGTGTTGCTAATCATGACAAGCTTCTTCCAGGTTTGCAATATTGTTAGTTTACATTGATATCACTTGATACATATATTCGATATCTAATATCATTTTTTATATGTTTTATCCGTTGGCAAACTTAGGCTGGAGTCATTTTGCACAATTCACAATTGCTGTGGTGAATAAAGATCCAAAGAAGACTAAATATTCAGGTTATTTGATTTTAGTGATTTCTTGTAGCGGCTGTAGCTTTTCTTATCAGCATTTAAGTGCTGTTGCTATATTCGCAGATACATTGCATCGCTTCTGGAAGAAGGAACATGATTGGGGCTGGAAAAAATTCATGGAGCTGTCAAAAGTGTTGGATGGGTTCATTGATGCAGATACATTGATAATTAAAGCTCAAGTCCAAGTTCTAAGGTGTTCTACTGCTCATTTGTTGTCACTCCATTGTTGTTGATCAGGACTGAATTGAACTTCAGTTACAAGCCTCTTTTGCAGATGAATTTCCACAATTCAGCGATCAGTATTGTTTGTTCTACTGCAGCCCCCCCTGTTTCCACAAATAGTTCTCTCCTGCATGTTTTTCCAGCATTCCCGATGGAGCCAAAAATTCACATTTTTTTGGCTTTGGGGTATGCTGGAATAAAGCAAAATGGCTCTTTAAACTGTTTGCGCTTCTTTTAATAGTGAATTAGCAGTTAGTCAATGCAACTTTCATTGCCCATCATGGGTCATCTGAAACAATTGCTCTATGTTTTAAGCATAGGGGTTAGGCTGCGTATGTGCTTACCTGTGGTGCTTGTGCTGTGGGTCTCTTTTGAAACAACCTCTCTACTTTCGAGTAGGGGTAAGGTCTGCATACACACCCTCCTCAATCCGTACTATTGTGGGATTCAAGTCATTCAACTGGGTTGTTGTTGTTGATGTTGTTGTCTCTCTCCTGCATGTATTTCAATATTTCAGTTTCATGATCTGACTACATAGAGGACGCTTAATGGAGTGACTGGAGTTACATTGCAAATGTAAACTGAATAACTGATCAAACACCCGAAAGACAATCCAAAAGGATTTTATATTTTCTTTTACAGTGTGTCTGTCTACTGTTGCTAAACTTTTCTATTTACTCTTTGAGGCTTGCGCATGTAGATATCTGTTATGACTGTTGTTTTCTTGAGGCTAAATAAATTAAGCTGTAGTAAAAAGGTCCATGATGACCCTTGCTTGTGTCTAGTCTAAACTTTGCCTGACCTTTATGTTGATGTTTACGAATAGTATTTACACTGTTTTTTGCAGGGTGAAACCTGATCGTCCCTTTCGATGTCTTGACCGTCGCTATCGCCGAGAACTTGTTAGGGTTTATTTATCAAATGTTGAGCAAATCTGCCGTCGTTTTGTAGAAGAACAACGAAGCAAACTTGGAAAACTAATAGAGGATAAAATTAGATGGTCAGGGTAAGACTTCTTTAATTTAGTTTTATATTTTCAATGAGCTTCCCCTGAAAGTCAATCTCTGAGGATTCAATATCCTTACTAGTCTAGTTAGTGTATATTGTTACTGAAATGGGATACTATACTAGCCATTTTTGTGCTTGTTTATAATCAGAGTCATTGTCTGCAGTTCTTTAGTTTTTACACCCTCATTTACGTAGCAGTTTTTGAATAGTGTACAACTTTGTTGACTGTACAACTTTATGTTTCAGTTTTTGTGCTTTCTGGCTTGGAATGGACCAAATTTCTAGGCACCACATGTCAAAGGAGAAAACAGATGTAATATTGAAAATTGTTGTAAAGCACTTCTTTGTAGATAAAGAAGTCACATCTACTCTAGTCATGGACTCCTTGTACAGCGGATTGAGGGCCTTAGAGGGTCATTATAAGGGCAAGAAAGGTAAGGGAAAATGTACAGATGCACAGGAACAACCAGCAGCTATAGTTCGCATAGAAAAAGACATGTTTGTCTTGGTTGATGATGTGCTTCTGTTGCTCGAGAGGGCTTACATGGAGCCACTGCCTCCTAAGGATGAGAAAGGTCCCCAGAATCGCACAAAGGTATGTTTAGAATCTATGTTTATAGATTGATTTTTTTCAGTTGAGTGCTTGAGGATACCTTACCTCAAATATATAATTGCTCCAATGCAATATAGTTGAATCATTAACTCTTAACTCTCTCATAAATTTTATACATATGTTTACCGGATGATTTGCTCATACTTTAATATAAGTTTGCGTTTCATACATATATACTATTCCGGAACATTTTAATAAGAGCTGGTATGAATGAAATTTAACTTGGTATATCTAAATGATCTAATTTCTAGGAGAATACATCATCCTGAAATATCTTCTAATATTAAACGAAAATCACTACCTATTTTTGCATAGATACCGTACGCGGTATGCAACAATGGCAACAAAGCCTTCATCCCAAGTGATAGAACCCATCTTTTTGTACAATAGGTCCCAGATATCTAAAACCACTTTCATATCTCTATCCTCCAGAGTCACAAAAATCTGATCCCCGTTTTTGTCGTGACTAAACTTGCATGTCATATATTCTGTACAATAGGTCCCAGATATCTAAAACCACTTTCATATCTCTATCCTCCAGAGTCACAAAAATCTGATCCCCGTTTTTGTCGTGACTAAACTTGCATGTCATATATTCTGTTTTACTTCGGTTGAGTCAAAAACCTTTAGACTCTATCCTCTTCCTCCACTTTGCTAGCATCATATTAGCTCTTTGTTTTCATTTATCAAGACAATGTACTTTGATACTAATAGATTCCCGTATTGCTTCCTAGTTCCTACAGTAGTGCTCACTCTCACATACATATCATTTATGAGGCTTTGCATGCTTTTTGGGAAACCCCTTCGTCTACACCCTACAACCGAGCGTAACATGCCTCGGGGTCCTCTATTATCCACTTTCTCCAAGCTAAAAATATCATCTGCACCGGTCTTTAAAATTGGGTTAGAATATGACTATATGTGTGTGTATGTATGTATACACACACACACACACACATATATATTATATATATATATATACTCTAGTAAGATGACACCTTATGGTAAGATGGCATGCTACAGATGCAAAGTTCACCAGTGATCACTGCAAAGCTCACCTAAAACAACTGCGAATCTCACCAAATTGTATGGAAAAGCTCCCCATGATTTTTTCACACTTTGAATTTTTAAAATTTTAATGTTTCAATGCCCACAAAGCCTAACAACAAAGCTCACCGAACATAGACATGAAGCTCACCAATACACACACACACACACATACACATGTATAGATTGAGTCCAGTCAAATGACACCTTACGGTGAGATGACATGCTTTAGTGAGATGACACCAAACTCACCACATTACACTACAAAGCGTGTCAATGCAAAGCTCACCTGGGAATAAAGCAAAGCTCACCACTTTGAACACCAAAACTCACCATTTTTTAAAAATTTTAAAATTAAAAATAATTAAAAAAATTTTAATTTCTAGGACACCGGTCAGCAGCAGCATCCGGCAACCGGCAGGCGGCAGGGCGGAAAACGGCGACTAGCGTCCGGTGACTGGCGGCGATGGAGCGGCGGCGGCGGCAGGCAGCGGTCAAAGGTGGCGGTCAAAGGTCGAAATCTAGTCAGCATCCCTTTCTTTGATTTTATTTTTTTCAAAAAAATTCAAAGTGTTGAAAAATCATGGTGAGTTTTGCCTTACAATTTGGTGAGCTTTGTAGTTGTCCTGAGTGAGCTTTGCAGTGGATAGTGATGAGCTTTACGTCATCTGACCGTAGCATGTTATTTGACTTCGATCCCATATATAAACACACACACCCTTTCCCATGCCAAAAAGCACAACGTGCTTTTTTGGTTGTCCCACCCTAAATGGCACACCCCTACTTTTGACATAACACTCATACTTATTCAATCACTTTTTCTATCTTTTCAAACACTTTTACTCTCTCTCTCTCTCTCTTACAATCTTACCTTTTTCATCACTTTACGATCTCTCTCTTACTTTTTCAATCACTTTTAAACTCTCTCCCCTTTTTTTCAATCACTTTTAAAAGTTTCCTTAATCATCACAAGAAGCCTCATGTGCCTGTAAATGATGGCTACAATAAAAAAAAAGTTTCCTTAATCTTCACAAAAAGGCTTATAGGGACAGTGTGTAAAATTTTCCTTCATCTTCACAAGAAGGCTCATGCATATAGAGTTAAAGAAACTCATTTTCCACAACTCTTTAGAATGTAATATTGTGCATGAGCTATATGGCTGCAATTGAGTGGCTACAAAGTATTGATGCTCTAATTGATTGTGGCATGGCTATGCTTGGGTTTGTGTGTGTGTGTGTCTTTTTAATGCTTTACACACACCCACACCCAAGCATAGCCATGCTACAATCGATTGGAGCTTCCATGCTTTGTAGCCACTCAATTGCAACCATATAGCTCATGCACACTATTAGATTCCGAAGAGTTGTGGAAAAAGGTGTTTCTTTCCCTTCATATGCAGGTTGTTGCATTTAACTACAGACAATGACTATTTTCTTATTTGATTGTTTCTAATACTAAAAAGATGCTACACCTTTTATCATCATATGAATTGCATTTATCTAGATTATCCAAACACATTATTTCTTGCATCATATAGCATAGATAGTATGAGTATGGTCGAAGGTAATAACTAGGTCAATGAACATGTTTCATTAACAATTATTAAATACGGAGTAGGTCGAGGAGTTGCATCCCTCGTAGTTATTACCTCATCATGTTTCATCATTACAATATTCATGGGTTTTTATTCTGAATATCTTTTGTTTCAGGATGGAACTTCTGGAGAGGACTTTAACAAAGAATCTATTGAGCTTGATGAAAGACGCCTTACCGACCTGGGTTACAGGACCATTGAAGTTTTTGTCTTGGCACAGATTTTTAGGTAAAAAGTACTTCACACTTTTCTCTGTGGTGTGCACTGTAGTAGACAATACTTTTTTGCCGTTTTTTGTTTAAACCATTATAATCTCATGCTGGCTACTTCTAGTTCTGGCGAGTAAGCCCTCTACTTTTTGTTTGCCTCAATGACACTATAAAAAACCAAAACTTGTTCCTACATATTCCTTCAAAACACGTTTTTGGAGTACCAGGGAATCCATTGAGGATCATCTCTTGTGCGCATAATGTTTTATATGCAAGTGCCCTATGCTTCACCCCGTCTATAGGCGAAACAAAATTTTTGTTTGTTTGTGATGCTTCAATAGTATGAAAAGTAGCATTCAGTGTCTTGTGGACCTGGCTAGTTTTTGAGAATCTGTAGAGGGAAATCTCACAAGTCACAACTGATTTTGTGGATGTCTTTTCAAAATTTATCCCACCTACAAGGATCATTCAATGCATGAATCTGTGTAAAACTTGTGGTACTTCTTCATATCTCTCGAGGTTTCAAGCTGCCTAAATTTCTATGAATCTTTAATGCCTAGTTTTCTCTTTCTCCAATATTTCTCTTTCAAATTATCAAGTGATGGCCAGTGTTGGAGTTCCCACATCGGAAAATAAAGAACACCACTAGCATATATAGAAGGGTGAAGCCCTACTTATCAGCTTAAGCTTTTGGGTTAGAAAGTAGATCCTGACTTTAAGTGGTTAATTTTACCCTACACTTCGCGCGTTGTTCTCGACCCATTGGAATTTTAACATGGTATCAAAACAGGTCTAGTCTGGGTTCTATTCTTCTTGGTTGTTTGGACGTGAGAGCTATCCGTCCGTGGTTTAGGTTAAGTTGGCTATAAGAGATTGATAAGCCACTACCTGTTATGTGGGCTAGCTATAAGAGATTGAGATGCGAGGCTCGTTTGTCCAAGGGATAACTAGACCGGGCTAGTTGCCTCTTGAGGGGGAGTGTTGGAGTTACCCACATTGAAAAATAAAGAAGAACACCACTAACATGTATATAAGGGTGAAGCACTACCTATCACCTTAAGCTTTTGGGTTAAAAAGTGGATCCTGACTTTATATACAAGTGGTTAAGTTTACTCGACACTTCGCCCGTTGTTCTCGGCCCACCGGAATTTTAACACTTAAGGATTACTTGTTCGGCATTTTTGGTGCTGACCCAAGCTGTCATGGTGAGTGGTGGTCATCATGGTTTTTAGTTTCTCATGTTTCGAACTCAAATGTTTATTAAACTTAAAACACAAGAATGTTAGAGAAAACATTTCCTAAAGTTTGAAAACTGAGAGGCAAACATTTTGCCCTGGTTTGTGTTTTGTAGTATTCCAATATTCTTTAGATCTAGAATACTTTTTTCCACTTGGTAAATTCACGCTAACACTTGTTAGATTTAATTGGGTTTGTTCACATACAACTGAATGGGTAATAAGTCAATGTTCGGGTCAGTTAGTATGGTGTCGGTTAGTGTGTTTTACATATTTAATTAATTTAAAAATAACAGTTGGGTAGTTTCTAAAAGCAATCATGGGTAGTTTTTTAATGTTAATAGGTGTGTTGGTTTGTAATGGTTGTGATGGTTAGTAAAAGTTGTGTTGGTTTGTTCTCTATTTATATTTAGAGAACACAACGAATCCTGTAAGTTCACATCAATAAAATAATCTTCTTTGCTTTGCTTACGACCCATGAAGGAATCAAAGTCTAAGAATTTTGTGAAAAATGTCANGGGTAGGAACCGTCAATTTTATGAATGGAGCACCGGAGGTGCCCCAAAAACCCAGTGGCACCGTTCTCCGGTGTCACTAGAACCGGGCCGATGAATTAAAGTCGTTCAATGGAAGACAACATACAGATTGTGACTACAAGGGAGAATAGTTCACTATCTTTTAAGGTTCCAATTTTAACTGCTACAAACTACACTATATGGGCCGTGAAGACCAAAGCAATTTTAAATGTTAATGGGATTTGGGAGGTGATCAAAGCAGGAAAACTTTGCCAGAAGAGATCGTGTTACAAGTTGCTCAGTTTACCGAAGCGAAAGAAATTTGGGATTCTTTGAAGACTCGCTTTGTTGGTGTTGACATGGCTAAAGCGGCGTGATTACAGACACTCGAATCAAATTTTCAGGCTCTAAAGATGAAGAACAATGAGTCACTTGATGATTTTACTGGTAAAATTAGTCAAATCGCAATACAAGCAAGCGACCTTGTGTCTGCATTTGAAGACAAAAGATTGGTTCGAAAGCTTTTGGGTTCTGTACCTGAAAAGATCATACAGATCGTTGCTGCAATTGAACAGTTTGCCGACATTAACACAATGCCGTTTCAAGAAGCGATTGGAAGATTGAAAGCATTCGAGGAACGCATCAAAAAGCCAACTGAGGAAAGAGATACACACGGTAAACTAGTATTCACTAAAGGTGATGGAAAGGAGAAGGTTTAGGAGCACAAATGTGAGCATTGTGGTTGCTGGAGCTCAAACCAAGAAGACTTTGAACGTGGCCGAGCTAGAGGTTAGGGGTCTGGAAAGGTCAGGATGGTGGTCGGTTTCAGCGGGAAAAGAGTCATATTAAGTGTTTCAAGTGCAATGAGCTAGGGCTAGGGCATTTTCTGAACGACTGTCCAAATGGGATCAAAAGGAACACATTGCAAATTTGATTGAAGATGATGATGAACCAATGTTGTTGTGAAGATCAGTGTGAATAAACAATGATTAGGGGCGTGATTGTTAGATTTAATCGGGTTTGTCACATGTAACTGAATGGGTAATAAGTCAATGTTTGGGTCAGTTAGTATGGTGTTGGTTAGTGTGTTTTACATATTTCATTAATTTAAAAATAACAGTTGGGTAGTTTCTAAAAGCAGTTATGGGTAGTTTCTAATGTTAATAGGTGTGTTGGTTAGTAAAAGTTGTGTTGGTTTGTTCTCTATATTTAGAGAACACAATGAATCCCGTAACAAGTTCACAACAATAAAATAATCTACTTTGCTTTGATCTGGTCCTGTTTAACCACACTAAGCTTTTAAGTTCTTTTATATGTTATTTATCCATCAAATGTGATGTTTGTTCTCTTGGATACTGTTGGGGTAGTGTTGAAATTTGTTTATAGCCATGGAATAAAGTGAAGTGTATCATCTTGTCCCCATAAGATCCAATGCATCTGTTGCTATACTAATATTCGTTTGTCATTAGTATTCTTTAGTGGAACTATGATCTTTTGGAAACAGTCTCAGTACCCTTTAGGTCGAATGAGTTCTTTGTACATCCACCCCATACCAGAATTGTGATATTCCACTGGATTGTTGTATTTGTACTGGTATTCTATCATGGAAATTTCTATGTTCCATATTTCTATGCCTTTGGTATTCTTCCACTGCAATATCTATGTTTCTTGGCCAAATCTTATGCTATATGAAGTTCTCAAAGAGAATTTTCCATCTGTACCATAATTTTGTTCTTGTTTTTGGAAGAGAAACAATTTCAACCACAAAATCTTTTCCTGAAAGAGAAAGTGAAACAAAATTTTGTGGCAATCCAAATAGCAAAAAAGGAACAAAATTCTGGGACAGAGGGAGTGCAATATATTTGAGTTTTGACACAATTCCATTTACTAGTGAGAAATACTTCAATTAGTACTCAAGTGTTGTTCCATGGCCTTTTGTTTGTTCGTTTTGAGAATATTTGAGATTTCCTTTTGTTGCATTATCATGAATTCATGATGACATGATCCTATATATTTAACCTACAAATGCTTCATGACCATCTTATTTTTATCTCTGCAGTAAAATTGAGATTGCATACCAGGAGGCTGTTGCTTTGAAAAGGCAAGAGGAACTCATTCGTGAGGAGGAAGCAGCATGTATAGCTGAAACTGAGCTTAAAGCAAAACGTGGCACATCTGAGAAGGAGAAAAAATCAAAGAAGAAACAGGTATTGTATTTGAACGTTATTTTATTGGAGGGATTAAACATGACACTTTCTTAGGCTCTCTTGAGTAAAAAATAGCTGGTCAGTGGAGCTCATCTGCTTCAATCCACATGTAGATGTTTTTGGTCATTTTGCTGTAAGCAAGGATTTGACATATATTGAATTGTGGATTGCCTTGATGACTATGCAAACTGTAATGATAATAGGACTAAAATAAGTGGCTATTGAGTCAAATTTGTTTGAAACCCTTTCACTCCAAGTGAGACAGGTGGTTTCACCAGAGATAGATGCAGAAGTTTACATCTTCACTAAACACTGACAAATTTTTATCATGTAACTCATAATAAAATGAATATATTCTTATTACAATGGAGTATTAAAAAGGCATTTATGGAGAAGGAGTCTTCCTATGTATGTTTACAGCTAGAGTCTTTACCACTATTGTGTAACTTTGTTTCCTTAGGTTTACAGCTATTATCTAACACATTTGTTCATTGTATTTACTAAATAAATCAGAGCAAACAGAAACGCAACAATCGCAAAGCAAAGGATAAAATGAGGGACGAAAAGCCTGGTGTCTTGTGGCAAGACAAGACTGAAGAGGAGTCATTAAGTGGCGAGGGGAAGGACAACTTAACTGAGGTGCCAGAAAATGTACTTGAAAAGCCTGATACATTAGAAGAAGTTTCAGACATCTCTGATTCGGTAGACTGTGTTCCAGAAATACTTAATTGTGAATCAGGAGACAGAGATGCAAATCCAGTGAACTGGGATACTGACACAATAGAGAGTCATCCACCTGTGGGAACCAGCTGCAGTAGTTTGACTGGTTTTTCATCTGTGCAAAATAGTGAGGCTGGGCGGAGAAACCCTTCGGGAATGGATGATAGTTCTTCAACTTGCTCCACAGATTCTATCCCCTCAGTTGTGAATGCGCATTATGGATGCAATGCTTCAGACTATAAAAACCAAACACCACCTTGCAGGTCTGTATTTTTAACGTTACAGTTACATGTTTAATTGTGTGTCTATTTTAGATATAGTATTATTATATTACTACTTAACAGAGGGAAGAGAATATCAAAGAAAATCCGTTAGTGATATGGCTAGCGAAAATGAAGCGATCAGTGGTAGAAAGTGTAGTGTTCCTGATGTAGCAATATTGAGTAATATGCCTGTTAGTTGCAGGATAACTGGATTTGAGTGTCAGGCTGCTTTGCTCTCTTCACATGAGCAGCATGTTAAGAAGGTATGTTGTCTTCGCCCTCCCTATTTCTAATGCAAGGAAACTGGCAGCCCCCCTTTTATATGTTCACTAATTCCCATCATATGACGTGATGACCTCTAAATAGGAGTGTTTGGCAGTCAATCATTAAAGTTGTAGGTAGACACAATGTTTGAAAAGGCGGAACCCAAACCCGCCTCAAGGCGTGCAATGAAACTTTTTCCAGAAAATAACGCCCTGATGCGAGTCCCGATTCACGCAATTAGCCATTTTACGCAATTTTCTTAAAGGCTTACGCCATAGGGCGTACACACTGGGGCGCGCAATGAGGCATACGCAATTGAGCGTGTAAAAATTAGGAAATCAAAGGTTAAAGTTGTCAATTATCCCAATTTAGTGTATGTATTTTAAAATTACTTTGTCGATGACCTTAATTGCAACCCTAATTGCTGAGATTTCCAAGCTGCGATTCATCTCCATCGCGATAGCAGGTGCGATTCATCTTTTGTGCGTCTTTGTTTTCCGTGTCTAGAGCAGCTAAAAATTTTTTTCTTTCCGGCAAGTGGTATAAGAATGGATGGATGATAGCCGGAGGATTTATAATCTACTATTAACTTATTATCTTGATAAATTTATTTAATTAGTTTTTTTTGTTATCATTTTATGAAGTACCCGAGCATTCAATTTTCCTTTTTTACGGTTGGAGTTTATAATCTCTTTTTTTTATTCTTTTTTTTTTGATAATTGTTGTGCTAATCTTTTGATCCTAATTTCAAGCTGTTAGACACTGATGAACTTTTTTTCAATTCTTCAATTTAAGCTCATCACTTTGAGCAATATTATGTCTTATTCCATGTTAGACATTGTTGTGTTTGCGATGTATTACTTTGACAATATACTTTTTCTAATGTTTTTGGATTATTTATGTTATATATCATGTTCTATCTTTAGTTTTAAATTGTTTTGTGGATATTTTTCAATTTTAAAAATGAGGCTTACGCCTCAATACTCCTCGAGGCTTACGCAATACGCCATGAAAATTGAAAAGAAAACGCCTCGAAACCGCAATACGCAATTTCGAACATTGGGTAGACATAAATAGGGGTGGTTCTCTGTGTGTAGAGGATTAGTCATATAGTTAGATATTTGTGTTGTTTACCTTTATATGGTGTGGTTTACCGTTTTTCTTTTTGGTTTCCCTTTATTTGTTGAACTATACCAACCTTTGTCTTCTATGATTGAGTCAGAGGCTTCTTGGCAACAGCCTGTATACCTTTTCTGGGTAAGGGTAAGGTTTCTTACATCCACCCTCTGAGACCCCATTCATGAGATTTTACTGGGTTTGTTGTTTAATATGCTGCGACTACATGCATAAAGCTACAAGTAGTCGTAGAATGATCGATGTAAGAAATGATGGGCATATCTCATGGCTTCTTAGTAGAAGACTAAACTATATCACATCTTTTTAGCCCGTCACAAAATAATGTTCACATTTATATGTTAAGCACCACTACATTATTCCATATACCAATTCACCCTTATTACATTTCACGTTTTTAAATTGATTTGATTGGGTGGGCTCTATTTGAGGGACCCTTGTAAAATGCATCACACTTCATCTGTGTCAATGTGTCATCACAATAGCAACAATGTGGAAGTTAAAATGCCTTAAATTTTGGGACACATGGAGTAAATGGTATCATCTTAAACATTTTAATGGTCACTGATGCCACATTGAGGACATAACAATGTAGATTAAACCAATGGCTATTGGCTATAAAAGCTCTAGTTTTGCATTAAGTAATACACCCTCCATCCTGTAAGTTTGTTTCTTCTTTCCTACTGCCCCTAAATTTTGTCCCACTTTCCGTTTCAAGAAAAGTTTGTGATCTATATTTATTCCCTCTCTAAACAAGTTTCAACTGCAGAATTTCCGCTATTGAAAAGCCTGCCAGGTCAAAGCTGGAACTAAATTATGGGACAGGGAGTGATTTGTACTACCCCTGTCTTGTTGTACTTGTTCAATTGGAGTTATTGGAGTCAAGTTTTATGAACTTTGACTATTGTTTAATTAATAAAATGCATTAAATGATGATAAGGAAATGATTTCATAAGATCTGTCTTTCAAAATATTTTCGTAGGTTTCTCACCCACACTCACGTGTGTGTGATACATTATGTGATAGTAAATTAATTTTGAACAAAAATGATTCATGAAATAGAAAAAAATCACAACATTCATGGAAACCTTAAGCTTGTAAATTTTCTAAAGGTATCATTGGAATGATACAATAACAAACCCAGGGTATACATGATCAGAGACGAACAGACGAACACGGAGATTTCCTTGGATGAGGACATATGAGATGGCTCGACTCTACTGCACTATTGCAACCGGCAATATCACATCATTGACACAACAACACACCACTCTTTCATACTTGAAGCACAAGACCCATTATGTTTAAGAGCTCATTATTCTCATTAAGATAAGACACATCCGATGCAGACATTGTGTCACACATTAGGTGAATGAGAGACGTGACATTACTGACAGAACCACATGCTTGTGTTGCGTAGTTTGAGCAAGCATTAGCCTCGTTCAATTTCAACATCCTTAAACAAGAATTGCATCCAAATTTAAAAAACAAATCATTTGGCCACCAAGTTACAAACCAAAGAACTTTGAAGTAAACTGTGAGGGATATAACTTGTGATAACAATATCATGCACAAAAACATGCAGATAATAACCTTTATGAGACCCCACTTCACCAAAATTTCCAAACCAAGCATGCGATGATCGTTTTATACCATACAACCATTTCTAGAGTTTACAAACAAGGCCAAAACCCCTGTGAAAGATTGCTTCATATATGTTTTCTCCTCAAGCATACGTTACATCAAGCTTATAGACTTATAGTATGGTTGATAAATGATACTCCCTTTGTCCTAAAATGAAGGTTTTTTTTGGGAATTTCTTGCCAATCTTTGACCCTTGTTTACTCAAAAGACACAATAAAAGATTATAATTCTTATATTATTATATTAACAATCAGGAGTAGTTTCATAACTTTATAATTTTTGAGTATATACTTTAAGAGGAACTAATGTTCAAAGTTTGGCATGGTTTCTCATAAAGGCTCAACATTATTGGACAAGGATGTATCTGCTATGGACATGATGAGACGAATAGATGCTATTTTAGTTACAAGGGAAAATGTGTGACTCTATCAATCCCACTGGCCGAAGATATCCAGGAAAATTCCAAAAAAGGCATCCCATGAGGCATGCCCAAGATGGAAACCCTAACCCAAGAGGTTCTGACTCACCTATAAAAATGGACGCTACTCCATTACTCCGAGGGGATCAACATCCCCATCACTCCACTACAATGGTCATTAGTACATGCTATGAATATATTATGTGTCATCTTCTGCGCTAAGAGAGATTTATGCTCTATCATTGGCTTCCATTTATATATTGTACATGTACAACCTCAAATATTATAAAGGCATTCCCTATTGACATGGTACCATCCAAAAAGGCTCATGAATTTCACCAATTTTGTTTCCACTTTAATATCCTCTTGTCAATATTATTTCAACTATTTATATGTATATCGAATATACCCAATTCTTGATACCCTGTGGAATTGTTTCCATCTACTTGTTCAAGAGATTGATGTATGTTGAAGAAGAAAAATAAGGTTCATGACTAGCATTCTAAAAGAGCTCTAGGCATCACTTAGGCAGCATTCTAGAGTGTAGTGCCTAAGAACACTTAGGTGGGGATATTTGAGGCCCTGGCAGTCTTAGGTGGGGATAAACCAGTGGTAGCTAAGGAAGGCTTATCGCGTAGGCAGAGCTAGGCAGGGATATGAAATGTAGGAAATACACGAGCAAATACTTAATCATCACAGGTCATTTTTGTGCATTGCGGTGAACATTTATCTATAATGTCTTGCAAATTTCGCGGTGGAAGAAATTATGACTTATTTACGAATATGTCACTGTGTTTTTCAAAATTCTCTATTTTTTCAATCACCACTCTTAAATCTTTTATCCAATGGACAAAATGCATTCTCATTTCTCTCATGGTGCATTAGTCTCATTTGACCCAAAGGACACACACACACCATATATTTATAGATACACACGCCCGCACACACAAACATCCTATAAATGAATAGCTTATGTCATGGTGTATAGCAGGAACGGCAGGAAGCATGCACCGCTCAGGAAAGAAGGCTCAATAAAGCTGTTGCAGATGGACATTGGGTGCACAAGACAAGTGTGTTGTCTGCTCCCAAGGAAGAAGAGTCTACACCTCACTCAAAGTCAAAAGTATTGGTTTCAGCAGTACCCTGTATTGTCAAGAAACCATCTCCAGATATCCCCAAGCAGCAGTTGGCTGATAAACCAGCCCAATTGGTGGCATACCCTGAAAGTGCAGTACTGAAGACTGACAGTAGTAAACCTCTCGACACACAAGTTACCAAAAAAATATCTATTGAACAAGTTTCTACTGTGGGAGATGGCTGCTCAACAACAGATCAAGTTCCCCCAACCAGCCAGTCATGCTTACAAATGCCTGCTGCCTCAAGATCCGTGAGTGCTCCCATAGCTGCTGGAGCCAGACCAACTACTCCTCTTGTCTCCCATCTGCAGACATCACCCCATCTGACTCGTTCAGTGAGTGCAGCTGGCTGCTTGGCTCCTGAGTCCCCTTCATCAACAACACACGGTTACTTTCCTCTTCAATCCTACCGAAACGTAATGATGGGCTCTCATGCAACTGATTGTAGTTTAGGTGGTTTGAGTCGACCTCATTCTCCTAGTTCAACAACTGTGTCACACACATTCTCTGAACTTCCTACTGTGAATTCCAGGTCAGTGCTTCTGCCACAGGGGCAAAATAGAGCAGAAGCAATTTCAAGTAGGCTGAGCTTTTCATATGAAATGGTAAATCGTGATTTATCACAGGATGGATCCCATTGGATCGAGTGCTCACAAAGGGATAGCGGCAGAACTTCAACTCCTGATGACCCTGCAATAGAAAACGCTCATAAATTCGACCTGTATATGCCATCAACAAGCAGTACCCACAATCTCTCAACACGGTCTCAAACATGCATGTCTGGACGCCAGTCCCAGGGTGTTCTGGCAGATGAATTTCCTCATCTTGATATTATTAATGACCTACTGGACGATGATCTTGGAATTGGGATGGCTTCTGGATCTGATCCCATCTTTCAAAGTTGTTTTGGTGATGCTTCATCTCATCACCATCATCTACCTCGGCATTTCAGCTTCCCGGGCAATGTTTGTATGCCAGCTGACCCAAGTCCAGCAAGCTCTTGTAGGTTTGACCGGGCACTAGGCTATCATGATAACAACAATGGGTTCGGACATAGATATCCAGGAGTCCTGTTTGATAATCAAAGAGATATGATCACACAGCCTGGTGCACAAAATTTTGCCGATATGCAGATGGAAGGTATAATTACTAGCCAATGGCAAATGGTTTCTTCCGATGGTGGTTCATTCTCTGGAATGAGGAGTGCTGATAGTGACATTGGCTTCCCGTCATATTCAAGCATGCCATGCGGTGTCAATGGATATACCATGTTCCGGCCTTCAAATGGGTTCTAAAGCTCTTACGTGCAAGAAACGGGGCTGGTTTCGGCATACTACAGGGAATGCTTTGGGCCTTAAATTTGGAGTGAATTGTCGCCATAAGGCCACAGGGTAAGGCGGTGTTTTGTAAAGAGTGATTTTACACTTAAACTTGTGATTTTTAGGTTTAGTAAAGCAATCACCCTAATCTTGGGTGTTGATGTCTATGAAGTTGAGATGCTCCAAGCCTGCTGGCCTTGCTTCTCTTATTTCCCCAAATAAAGAGCAAATATGTCTAACTAACCCTGTACTTACTGGTGATGATGATCTGCCCACTAGGCAGGGGCCAGTGGCCAATAGTGTTTGTACCTTCGGATGTTTTCTAAGTTTTGATTCAGTGTGCATCTTATCTTTTTTTTTTGCTTTATATTCCCTAGTACAGATTCTTTCCCATTTATTTACAAAAATGCCACCGCTTTTTTGTTCACTTCCCGGAATTTTTGCTTCCTCACATAACCCTTGGATCAGAAAGTCTGTGCACCATATTAATTTCTAGTACTCCGTATTTTTGGGAAGGATACCTCATTATTGATTACTGAACCAAAATATATGCAGTATTAGTTTTGCGAAAAAAAAAAGAGAATAATTTTAGGTCTTTCAAAAATCACTCTAAAAAAGCATGGGTTAAATCAAAATTTAATGGAAAAATTAGCCAAAATAATCCCAACTTTACCCGGTCTTTCAAAAATAATTCCATCTTTCATTGTGATGTATAATAATCCCAACTTTATTGAAATTTGCCAGTTTTAGGTCGCCGTTAAGTTTCTAACGGAGGGTTAACGGAAATGCCTGTTTTAGGCAACAAAATGAAACTTAGGATTATTTTTGATGATTTTTTTTTTAATTTTTTTTGAAATTTTTATTTAAAATTTTTGAATTACTTTCAACCTCAATTTCTTTTTCTTTTTTAAAGATTATTCTTACCTTAGAAAAAAATAGATATAAAAAATAATAAAAATGAGAAAAATAACTAAAACCATACAAAATTAATCAAATAAATAATGTAATCAATAGAAATTAAACAGAAACTGGTAAGAAATAAAATAAATATATACGGAGTGGTGGGTTTTAACATTTTACACACTATACGGAGTCTTAATGTACTTCTTCCGTCCCAAAGTATTTGTCCACTTTCATTTTTACACATCATCTAATACACTTCTTTAATCCATTTTATCTTGTAATTTGTATATTAAATAATTATAAAAATTATATATTAATAATCTATATGCTAAGACAAATCAAACAAAATCACACATGACTATATTTAGGCTTACACATTGAGAGAATTTGATGAGTCAAAGTGCTTAGATGAACAGTTCCAAAAGTCAAAAGTGGACGAATGTAGCGGGACGGAGGGAGTACTTATTTTTTACAAGAACAAGCTGTCCGGTAAAGTTGGAATTACTTTAGATAATTTTTCTAAAAAATAAGAAGTGATATGTTAATACTTTGTATAATGCGTAAAATATTAAAACCCACCCGTATATTTTTATTTTACTTTTACCAATTTCAAGTTAGTTTTCATTGATTACCTTATTTGTTTTATTATTTTTGTATCATTTTAGTTACATTTCTCATTTTTTCATTTTTTATATCTATTATTTCTATGTTTTAAACTAAGACTAATCTTTAAAAAAGGAAAAAGAAATGACGATGGAGGTAGAAAGTAATTTAAAAAATTTAAATGAAAAATTTAAAAAAAATAAAAAAAATGAAAATTCATCAAAAATAATCCCAACTTTCTTTTTGTTGCCTAAAATGGGCATTTCCGTTAACCCTCCGTTAGAAACTTAACGGCGACTCAAAACTGACAAATTTCAGTAAAGTTGGGATTATTATGCATCACAGTGAAAGGTG